TTTTTTTTTTTTTTTTTTTTTTTTAATAGATTATTAATTTCGTAAGTGGAAAGAAAACGAATCCACTAATATAATAACAAAAGCATGATAAAAGTGAACAATGTTTCATTAATATAATAGAATATCCTCGCTCAAAAACTTCCGACATCTTTGTCTTTGTGTTTGTAGACATGTATGAAATGGACAAAATATTTCGAAGCATCTTCGATACTTTTAAATTGTCTATAAATTAGCGAATGGAATAATTATTAGTGATTTCATACTCCTTCATCTAATTTCGTCACAAAGAACACATCCACTTCTCACTGGCATCATTAAGATTACATGGTAATAAAATTAATCGCTGCCGTTGCGAGACAGTGGTATTTACTGTAACATACAGCTTATTAATCGTGATTATTGATATTGATATTATTTATGCATATATGTGTATATACATATATATATGTATATATATATGTATATATATAATTTGAAGCTGATACATCTCCCAACATCTGACATTTCATATATTTTAACTTTTCATGTTTCTGTGTGCGTATTTCTATATCCAATAATTTCTATTTACAAAAATTAATCGTCGCCCGATTTGTTTTTATTTTTCATAGCATAACGTCTCCTCACTATATCGATAAACTTCTCAAATTTTTATAACATCATCAATCACACTTCTTACATGAGCATACTATCATTATGCACATGAGCTGCCAATTCCATACAAATGGCAAATAATCATTGAACACAAGCTATAAAATGCTTCAGCAATGAATACATAGAAAAACGAATAATAATTAAAATGTACATTAATCATATTATCAGATCACGTTCGCTGAATAAAATAAGTCGCATGAATAATTTACTAAAAAGAAAAGTGCGAGTTAATAATATATAATGCGTTTTTAATAAATGTTATAAACATTTCGATGCAAAACATTTAAAAAACAAATCGGAATTGATTTATAATAAATTGAAAATAGAATAATGAAGAAATATTTCGTTCTTAGAATGCATGCAAAAAATAAGGGGATTAAATAAATAATTGATAAACAAATATATAATTATAATTAATACAAAAAAAGATATTGAGTAAAATTTTTCAAAATATACATAATAAAAATACTTAATTTCGCTTTGTAATGGCTACAAAATAATCAATTGAAAAAAAAAAAACGCAATGGAAAGCACGTATTTTCTATGCATCATTTTGCAATCAGTTCAAATCTTATTAGAACATGAACGCATATTATTTTTCTAATTGAGAAAAGAATAATACATCGCGTATTATTGCAATTCATTAAAAGCGAGGAAATGAAAGACATATACGTATATTGATCTTGATCCGAACTATTCGCACCAATTTATAAATATACAAATATAATCACTTTCAAACTCAATCATTCTTTCGATAAAGAACGATAAAATTTTTCATTAGAACAAGATTAACAACCTTTTTTATACATGAATGAATAAAGAAGAAAAAAAAATCATTATGAAAAAGGGACATATAGTATATGTATCCTGAATAACATAGGGAAATATTTTCTTGTTTGTTCACAACCATACTTAACCAGCAGTCAGTCGTGTTGTATTAAAACTGGTGACGCATGAAAAATCGACTAAAAAAAACTACAAACTAAATTGCAACATAGTTGCAGTATAATCGTGCCAACGATATGTGGCAGAATAGCCATATAAATACGGAGGCTCTCGTTCATTCACTCATTTTTCTTACTTTCACTCTCTTTCATACATTCTCATTGTCATTCTTCTTCTTTCTCTCCCTTTCTCTCTCTCTGTTTTCTTTCATAAAGATATTGTTAATCAATTTTGGAATTCATTATTAATGTATATTCTAATTGCGAAATTTGGTATATGTGCATATGTTGTATGTGTATTTTGTGATATAAATATATGTTCCATCAAGAGATCATAATTACAAATGATACTATTGACAAAAAGTAAGGAAACATAAGAAACATTAGTTCCTTAGCATTCGGATAACACGAAGATTCGTTCTCTTTCCACGTAAAAGCATACACACCGAAGGACAACAAGATCCTTCCTCTTCTTTCCATACTATCTCTTAGCTTTGTCATTCCTCTTTTCTTTATTTTTTTTCTCGATCACACATTTCAGCGACCATTCTCTCCTCATAGCACTTACATTCGCACTCTTTCTCTGTATACAAATGTAACGTCCGATTGTTCGACGTTTACTTGCGTTGGCAAGTTTATAAAAGGAACAATACTCTTGCATATTTAGTGGGAAGATACAGATAATAACGAGAGAGGAAATCTACAAAGTTAATGGGTTTAGTTCTCATCTCCATTTAAGCGTATTACTTCAAGACATCCGACGGTCAATAACAACATGATACATTCAGATGTGAAGAAGCTAGCGGCATAATGCTTTCTTAATATTTTCTCTTTTTTTTACATAAATCATGATACGCTCTCTCTTTTAATCCTGCTTTTTCTTTCTCGCTCTTTCACTCTCGTTCGCTCTAAGTACATCGAACGTCTCGTCGTCGGATGTGCTTGGCCATTAAATATTGAAACGTGTACGGGCACTCACGGTACACTAACACGGTACATCATATGGCTCGGCAGTGGTACGCAATCGTTGGCCAGACTAGTAGAAGTTCGGACCTTCGGACACGATAATCTTAGTATTCGCCATCTTCACGCGGAGACAAGTGACAATTTGTCAATTATATTGCCTCTTAATATATTCCTGCAAGAAGAAAAACATCTATGCTAACTAGCCGATTAAACTCTTTTCTTAGTCAATCGATTGCGTTTTGTTACAAATTTGTATGGTCCTGAAAATGAAATATTTTTCTAATAAATAAAATTTTTCTCCGAGAGAAAATTTGTATATATCGATCATTATTCGTCTAATTTATCCTTTCCTTTTTATTTTCTATATCAACCAATGATTATCTAATGACGTTATCTCAATAATTTTTCTTTTCTATTATCATTATTAACTTTATCTTGTTTTTATTAATTTATTAATTATATATCGTTATATGTATTTACTTTCATATCTTGGTAATCTTTTATATATCTTTATATATGAACAGTATTGGTAATATTTAGAAAATCTATTCTTTCTTATTCTTTCTTATTCTTTCTCTTCATTTTCGATACAAATAGCAAAGGATAAAAGGACGTTTTTTTTAACAATGCATCTTTTTTGAGAACGTTCAAATTTTCAAAGACTTAATATCTATAGACTTAATATCTTATATATTACAATATGCATTGTCAGAAAATATCAATCAATTTCAAGATATAAAAAACTTGAGATTAAATGTACTCCAATCTTTTTATTATTGATCAGTCTGCAAATAAACGAACAATACAAATTTTTTCGCAACAACAGTTTGTTTTAATAAAATAAATTTATTTAAAACGTATAACTTATTTTAACGAATCGTATTGCAAATTTGTAACAAAACTATATTATTAACATATTAAATATTCTTACTTGCTCGTTTAATCGGCAAGGCTGATAAGATTCTTTTCTCCTTCGTCTTCGCGCGCATTTTCACTTCATTTAAGTATCTCTTCACTGCTTGGATGAATTTTCGAAACATCCACGAGGATTCAAATATATCACGTCGCAACGCTCTTCTTCTTGTTAACTTCGTGGAACAAACATATTAAATAAGCCCTGAACAAAGTTCTCCCCAAGTGCACAATATTCTATATCTATGTCACGTACATTTTTATATTGTTTTTTTATTTATTTATTTATTTATTTATTTATTTAATTTTTTTTTTTTTTTTTTGGTTTAAATTCAATATCGTTCGCGTCGATCTAGCAAACAACGATTCGTTCCAAGGAAATTCCGTTTTATAGAGTTAAACAGAGACGGTAAAAGTTCTTTTTATTGCTTTAAAATCAAATCTATATTGATGTATATTCAATTACAAGCATACTTTGGTTCTCTTTTTTTGTTACAATTCTAATAATTATCTTTTTTTTTTTTTTTAACACACGTGTTTCAAGAATAAAAAAGTTTGTCCGAAATGAACGGATCCTTTTATAGGTGATAAGATACGATTCAAGAAAGTTTCCCGAATCTTCGTGTTTTGATAGAACACGGATCAATTATATCGAATACATGTGTATAATATGTTGATCTAAGTTCTATTCAATTTTCATGGTAGATATCAGAATCTACAGACGAAAATTTTTAATTTCTCTTTTATTTGTTTCGATATGTAATGTAAAATGTAATTTGTATGATTCCTGCGACGTATAAGCTTTTACATGAATGAATTCATGGAAGGCATGAAACCGAAATTGGACAATTTAGAATTGCGATCGCATTATCCTTCCACTTTAGAATATATATTAACATCCATTTCGAGGTTTTACGAAGCTCGTTAAATGATATGCGATTAACTGAAATATTCGATACAAAGTATGAGCAGCTTCGTAGCAAAATACGTAATTCTTGATATATTTTATGTACAGTGGGTATAAGGATCTCATATATAATTGTGTACTTATATAGAATAACAACAGGCAGTGTAGGCGTAAAATAAAATTAGTTAAAAATTGTTAACTAAAACGCGATAAGTGCAATTTAGCACGAATCTGCTGCTATCTACTAGATAGCGTTAATACTGTTATACTTCGTGTATCGTACAAAATAAACGTAAAAGGGTAATTTCTCATTAAACAGGAAATATTCGGTTAGATGATTAATGACAACGA